AAAGTTATATGGTAAATAAGAAATACACACTCTCTTACGTAAAATACAAGAAAAATGTTTCAAATGATGGTCAGAAAAGCTGTAAATTTAATATTGTACATATCTACTAATTTAGTGGGTACAACATTTTGTAAGTAAGGAATAAATAATTAATTTATAAATTCGAAAAAGGTGTATGTTTGGAGCGCGGCGTTGTACGGGTGCAAAACATGGACAGTGAACGCGTCAGGAAAGGAAAGGTTAGAAGATTTCGAAATGTGGTGTTACAGGCGAATAATGAGGATACCGTGAATAGAGAAGGTTAGAAATGAAGAGGTATTAGAAAGAATAGGAGAACAGAGGACTCTATGAAAGTCAATAAGAAATAGGCGAGATAGGTTAGTAGGACATCTTCTCAGGCATGAAGGTCTAGTCAAAGACATATTAGAGGCAAAAATGGGAGTTAGGAGGAGTAGAGGTAGACCTAGATTAGATTACGGTTCGCAAATAGTTAAAAATGTAAGTTGATCTAGTTGGTATAGTGGAAGTGCGTGTACAACTAGATGATGATAATGATGACGATGATGACGATGATGAATAAATAGTCTATTGAGTTCAAGAAATAACAGTAACTTCAATTAACATCGTCACAAAATTTTTAGGTCGAAGACTGGTCAGACACGCACATTCATTCGTTCGTATCCTCAGCTAACCTTTGCATTTCCCGAAAACTGTATATTTATGTGAAAATTCCCATGTTTCGTTTCGCTTGGAGCGTATGAGTAGGAAGTATCGTCAGCGTTGACCATACGGCTCAATTTTCTATACGCGGGTCAGTCGTGAATGTCAGTTGTTGTTGTTTATGCTGATGGTTGTTCTATTTAGCAAGATGCTTCAAAGTAGTCAAGTAATTATCGTGATTTGGCAGATAAAACCATGAAAAAAGAAGCGAAAGAAGAAGATACCATGGGTGCATTCTATCATTAGTGAAAGGCACTTAATGGGTGCTTCTGTTACTTTATATTCTAAGTTACGAGAACACGAAATGAAATCTATAACAGCTGCTACATCCTTGTATGTTTTGTTTTTAATATCGCGATTTTCATGTACTTCACAGGTTGCATCTTTGGTTTTATTGACAAATTAATATTTCATCTGCATCTACATTATAAGTCGTATTGGTGGCTCTGCAGTATTTGACATACTAACTCGCAGGAGGGTACAGATGGCGTTCATTATGCTATTTATACTAATTTATTTCGAATTTGATAACGAATTTTATACATGTAGTGGGAGTTTAAGAATGGATAATTCCCTATTTTGAAAATAACGAATCATGTACAAATTATCATTAATCAAAATTTTGGAAATAAACAAATTTAGAAATAGCAATTTGTTCCGTCACGAACAATTATTATTATTGTTAAAAATCTTAACTGTGCCTGAAAATTCTAGTTATTTTTTACAGTGACATTAGTTTTAAATACAGTCCTGTTTAATCGAGTTTAAATGAATTTTCAGGTTTTAAACAGTAATGCAGGATGATGGTTAAGTTCTTAACATCGAGTTTTCTGAAGTAAGAAAGGAGTAATTAAGGGTTTAACCAATCCGGGGATTACTTAAACAACTAAACTAATTACTAAAAAGTTAATGCTAGCTTCTAAGAAATCATAAATAATTAATTAGTCGGTTTATCATTTATCTAGTAGTTTATTAATTTGACCAGAATTTCCTGGTTCCAGGAATATTAAAGTGTACAAAGAATTGAATTTAGTTTGATCAAAAAAGATATATTAAAATGACAATTTCACAATCCCAACAAATATAAAAAGTCACTAGCATACAAGTTGCTTTTTTTACACATCTCGAGATCATTTACATTTCTACTTTTGCCTCCTACTTGAAACATCTGGTGCATACATAAACGCAAAAATGTTAGATAATAATTAATTGAGTAAATGAGATTTCTGTCTTCTCGGTTTAATTCAAATCGATAGGCGATAGTTTTAAGTAACCACATGCCTTTGCATTCAGCGCAGGCGCGTATATTACTACCCGTCCTAAAACATATTGTCGGTTGCATAAAAACGCGATTTGTATTTAGACATAGCAGTTTGTTCAGTTACGAACAATTGAACTTAGGTCGTTAGCGGTTATTAAAAATCTTAACTGTACCTGAAAATTCTAGTTATTTTTTACAGTGACTTTGGTTTTAAATACAGTCCTGTTTAATCGAGTTTAAATGAATTTTCAGGTTTTAAATAGTAATGAAGGGTGATGGTTAAGTTCTCAACATCGAGTTTTCTGAAGTAAGAAAGGAGTAATCCGGGGATTACTTAAACAACTAAACTAATTACCAAAAGGTTAATGCTAGCTTCTACGAAATTATAAATAATTAATTAGTCAGAGATTGTTCATCTTCTTCATGTAAAGGGAAGTTTTAAGATGTTTGTTATCATTTGTTTTAGGATTAGTGGATTTCTAGGATTTTTATTTCTGTTTTTGTCTGTTTTTCAATACAAAACTAATTTCGCTGTCCTATTCAGATGTTTGAATTGTTTCGTAAATAAATTTCTAACTGAAGTTTTAGTAAATAATTACAATTTGTTAATATTATTGTTATCACATGACTTCGCTTTTCATATACCTAATAGATACTCAGAAGGAAAGTAATTGATATCTTTCCTAGAACTACAATAAAGATTTTTCGTGTGGGAACCTAGGCTGCCGACGTAAAACGAAATCAATAGTGTCTTTATATTATTTCAAGACAAAAACCTATTAGGTTGGGAAAAATTACAAGGAAAAAGAAATGATGGAAGTACGTACATAATAGAACTCAACTACCAAAATAACTCTCACAAATATTTAATGTTTGATCCTTTTTTTTCCTGTTCACCGTTTTCTTCTTTTTCTGTCATAAATACTTACTCAGAAACTCGAAACTGTGCGTGGGGTTTTAAAGGTTTACATTCTGCGTAGTTTTTCTATTTCTATATGATGTGTAAAACAAACCGATTACTTCTTTTGTTGTTGGCGAAGTATTTTCAGTAATATTTTTAGGCGATATTATAATCAACCACAAGTGATTTTTAAAGTAAAAGTTCTTATCGACGGTAGGAAAGAAATTTACTAGGGTATAAAAAGTGTAACGTCACGCGTCACGCGCCACGCGCCACGTGTGACCCCTGGTAGATATGTCCAAAAAGAGTCATTTTAACAGGCTTCAGAAGCTACCCTGTTAAAAGCAACCGATAATCCAAAAATTGCCAATTCAACAAATTGAGTATGAGTTTGTGATTGTTTTGATTTGTAATTCCTCTCTGCAGTTTTGTATGGCGCAAGCGTAAAAGTTTTCAACAAAACTAAACCAATATTCCACATTCGTCCGCTCGAAATAAAGTTTTAATATTTTTCTGGTGTTTAATAATTCAGTAGTCATAGTTAATGCAATAGTTTAATTGAAAAATACTACTATTATATACAATCTGAAGAAATTTCACTTCTTACGCGTGTACACTAATACATGCCCGTCTTTTTTTTTTTTTATTGTAATGGTTTATACCTCTAGGGACGGATCTACCCAAGGTGCAGCCCAGGACCCCGTAGATACAAAAGCCCCCACCTTCCGTTGAAAGTAAAGAAAAAAAAATGCCTAAAATTAAAAGAATTCTACCATAAGGTTGGCAACCCTGCAATCAAGCAACTCGTGTGCGCGTCTATCCAACGGAACGGGGAATTCCCCGTCGTTTGTTTTCGGTCGGTGTATTTTCTCGGGTATGCGTCTATTATGGGGGACTTCCTGCCGCTTATTGCTCGACACAATTTTGTTTTTTTTCTCCGCACTTCTGTTCTCGTCGTCATAGTGACAAAATGACTTTGTAATTGTTATTATTTTTACTATATCGTATACTTGTATCATTATAGACAACATTTTTTAACAAAAAAAGACTATTAAGTAATCCACTAGGGTAAGTTTAATGCATTATCATTATAGATACATATTTACAAATGTAGATTATTTGTTTATTAATAAAGGTAAACGTATTGCTTTAAAGTACAGAAAGTAAGTACTTTGTTGTTTAAAACATTACCATGTATGCTTGATGATTTTTAGTAATTTTCAAATTGCAATGGTAATGTAACATAATTGACTGGAGTAGATTTCTTAAAGCAGTTTATGATTTATCTAGTAGCTTACTAATTTGACCAGGATCTCCTGGTTCCAAGAATATTAAAGTGCATAAAGGATTAAATTTAGTTTAGTCAAAAAAGATATGTTAAAATGACAATTTCACAATCCCAACAAATATAAAAAGTCACTAACATACAAGTTGATTTTTTTACACATCTCGAAATCATTTACATTTCTACTTTTGCCTCCTACTTGAAACATGAAAAAATGTTAGATAATAATTAATTGAGTAATTGAGATTTCTGTCTTCGCGGTTTAATTCAAATCGATAGGCGATAGTTTTAAGTAACCACATGCCTTTGCATTCAGCGCAGGCGCGTATATTACTACCCGTCCTAAAACATATTGTCGGTTGCATTAAAACGCGATTTGTCTAATTAATAAAGATATTAACCTGTCAAAAATAAATATCGCTAATATAATTTGTACTAACCGTTTTTTATTAGTAGTTGTATTTCATAGTAAGTACTAGGATTAATAATAGAGGAATTAATTTAAAATCTTTGTTGCTCTTATCATTTTAAATGATAAACGCTGATAATTCTGTTGTTATGAGTCATGACTTTACATACCTTTCCTTAAGTCACGGATGATATTTTGATATAAACAGGAATGAGTAAGTAACCAATATACTGGATAAGTATGCAAAATACAGGGTGTCGCTCTACACTATTCTAGGTAAAGCTTATGTCAATCAAAATATAGCGTTTACTCATAATTAATAATTGACTACTATTGATTTCGCATTACGCTTTAATAAATAACTAAATCTTGGTATCGGTTACGCAAGCGGGTAAAAGCAAATGAGTTAATTAGTAAATCTTACCTCGATAAACTGTTTGACAGTGAAGTCGACGATCATTAGCGGCTTGTGAATTAAGTGAATGACGCCGTTTTGAACTGGAATATTAGCCTTGACTATCTCTGCAAACACGACTCCTGTAGGATGACGGTTGTCGCCCATCAAAGTGTTGCTCTTAATATAAACTGCAACGAAAAGGATTCATTTAACACAAATTTTATAAACAGGATAAAATTATAAGTGAAATTCTTGGTAATTATCCATAATTGGGCCTCCACACCCAAATCGCTCCAAAAAGTTTTTAATCGATTTCTGATCATTCTACATAATAGAATTAGATATTAGAAGGTAGGGGAGACAGTTTTTTATGACTTCATAAATTAAAAATAAAAAAATTTTGAATGACAATTTTCCTAAATTCAAATCAGTTCTAAACTGTAGGTACGCGAAGAGGGCTAATTTAAATCAATAGGCAATTTGTTTTAAGCAATCACCTGCCTCCGCATTCGGCGCAGACGCGCACATTGTACTACCCGTCCTAAAGCATATTATCGGTTATATAGAAAAACCGTTTGTCTATTTTAACCTGTCAAAAACCAATATAATTTATATTAACTAAGGTTGCTATTGTATTTTTTTGTATTTCTTCACCTTAAAAGAAAAATTTGCATCAAGATGATTTTCTTTTTAGTTCTTGGTTTTTCTTTTACTGTACATTTTATAACGATGTCGGTAGTCAAACGATGTATGCTTGTATGAGGGATTGTTTTATTTGATAAGATTTCGCTTGTTGAGGTTAAAAAGCAATGAGAAACTCGAAATTCAAATTTCCTGTAATTTAATTTTTATTTGTTCCGAGCAGAAAGAAAATGGCTATTGATTAAAAGGTTTGTAGTCGATTGTAGAAGCATGGAATTGTAATCTAAAACGAAAAATACGTTTGAACAAGGGGCCATAAAATAATAACACGAGTATATCGATTGAAAAAAATAATCTATTCGTTATCAGGATAACTAAACGGTTTTATAGTCGTATAAAAACGCTATTAATTCCTGGTAAATAAATAAAGGCCAATGAGAAACATGACGGCTTTTAAATCGATTGTAGTGGCACTAACGCTCATTTCTGTATCCAGTAAGTAACAACTAATAATTAACTAGATATAGTAGTTAGTATGTACGTTTAAATTTCATTAACAAAAAATTTAAGTGATTAACTATTTCTACCACCAAAATTTTTTTAAATCATCCATTTAATGCTTATAATGACTTCGTTTTGTGATCGTAGGGCTTAAACTAACAATTTTAAAAACAACTGAAATCGTTAATTAGCTTTTTAGAATTTGTTTCGATAGAATTGTGTAAGAGTCATGTAATATTTGAATGACATTAATATGAATTTTAAACTTAAAAAGTAAATTAACTTAATTATACAAAATGACAAAATGGCCATAAAATTATTGCACAATAAGTATTTCGTTGTTTACATTTAGTTATTAATTAATTTCTTGGTAGCGATAGTAATACGAAAATATTAATGTTGCACATGTTCTTTTGGTGTAATATTTGAATGAGTTGCATTATTTCTTATCTATCGAGTATTGATTATGAAATTATCATGTCCAAACAGTGACTACTATGATAAAATCATAATGCATGACGATTACATTTGTGTATTTGTGGTAAGAACCTTCATAAATTTTTTTAAGGATTTGACTACATAAGCCGTTTTTCTTTGAAAATGTTAAAGAGTAAAAACGTCAATAAGAACAGATCAAGTTCTTGATCAGTAATTTATCTAAACGAAGTTAGTCGCGATTTCGATCTATTTGATTTCATCATTACCCATAAGCAGTCTGGTTAACTTACCAATCTAACCGAAGATGCTCTATATGAACAAGTTTATACAATATCGAATTACAGCACAACGTCGTCACCTATTGATATTTGTAGCTAACTACTCTAGTACCAAACTACTAACTGTTGAAGATATCAACCTTAGAAGTCGGTAAAATGTCTAGAAAATGTCTGGAGGGAATCCTGAAAGCGTACGGGAGAATTAGATACTTCAAACAAATATCAATAGATGACGACAAAATGTCATAACTCGATTAAAACTATAACCTAGGCATTTGTAATAAAATAAAACTAGTCGAGTACGTGTAGGTACACTGAGGGTTCTATAGTAAACCCTGAAGATGTATACCAAGTTAGATACTGTAATAGCAATGGTCGGAATGTACTTTTCCCAATTTTGTGTTTATAATGGTTCAAATTTTTAAATATTTGTGAAGATAGACACTTTTTTTTATAAAAGTTAAACTGTAATTATTTTAATGTGAAAGGATTGAGTAATGTTGTACATAATCTGCAACTTAATTCTTATATAAAGCCGACTTGGACTTGGTTACACAATACTTCTAGAGACCGTGGTTTTGTTGGCCCCTCTCGTAAAATATTTTGCCTTCCTAGATACAGGAGTAGAATCAATAGTTGGGACATTCAAAATTGCCATAGTCCACAACAAAACTGTCGTATTTACTTTCTTCCTACGACTTACTAACTAGACAAGAGCGGTTGCTGACAGAACGCCTGTCTTTACTGACGACAGACGTTGTAGAGAATATCGTAAACATAAAAAGAGATGTCAGGTAGGAATTGCAGCAAACACTAATAAAAAAGAAGGAATAACATTATACCAATTAATGTGTAACACTGAGATGCAGTCAAGAAGAATTTAAGAATGTTATCAGCATAGGGTTTTAGAAATAGTTCAACATCCTCTGGAGTTTAGGAAACCAAAGACGTTTGTTTAAAAATTTAATTCCAGTTAGGCAGTTATAAAGCCAATCCTGATGATTTGCGTACCTAAGCAGCTTCTAACGCTGCACCGCTTATTATTATTCGGTCACTTTGTCTGTACTACTCATGAAGCAGATCCTAAGTTATACTTCGTTTAGTTTCTGTAGCGATGTGACCTTTAGTTTGATCAGCGCAAAGTAGAAAAGAACAGCACTAAGCGAGAAAAGAACGGAGACAACTCTCGGCCAAACTCTTAACCGGTGAGGAGCGTATAATCCGTACAGTACTGCACGGAAAAATTGACCATTTCATCCACTACAATTGCATTGCTCAAATGTGCTGTTATTGGTACCAATTGCTACTGAAAATATCAACGAGATGTTTATTTATATTTGAAGACATGTTAAAGGCTTTAACGCTTGTTTTCGACTCGCACTACTATTCATGATTGAACAAAACTCTTGGCAGGTACTGTATGAAAAAGTATGTTTAATGAACAAGAGTCGAGAGTATAATGAGCTTTTCTCTTCGTACCTACGATTTTGCCAGCGCGCATCAAAGACATTGGAAGGGGCACATCGCTACAGAAAGTAAATGAAGTATAACAAGGGCGTGTTAAAAATGCAGCAAGTAACCACGGTCCCAGGTGGAAACAAGAAAGGAGATACGTCAATTCTCACAGATAATTTATTGCGGACTTTTGATCGTCCTAACTATACATAATTTGCTTAGTGTACGGAACGAGTCGTAATAGCTCACCAAGTTGGGCTCCGTTGGGCAGTAAAGCAGTGAGCATACGATTTGGTTTTTGAGTTTGACAATTGAGAAGTGTTTTAGAGAATAGTACAAATGGCGCAGTAAACACCATCTGTAGCACGATGCTACATTTTAGGATTACATATGCTCCAACAAGGTGCACTTGTGTGGATATCTACTTGCTACAGATGGCGTTTACTGCGCCATTTGTAGTATTTTCTAAAACGCACTGTTAGGACAGCAGGTAAAAGTTGATCTGTGTTCTGTCGGAGCTGCCTGCGACGCGCTGATGAGATCCAAAAAGATCGAAATCGCGATCCACGTCTGGCAGTTTCGACAGAATACAGACGACTTCGAATTATTTTAATTGAGAAGTGGTTGCTCATAGCACAACAGACCGTTGCGTTTCCTATTTTTGATTACTTATAATGTTGTCGAGACCCATTCGCTTTAGATTAAGCTATAGCTCCTAACTGTAGTCTTTTTGATTATGAATTGGATGATATTCCACCGCTAGCATTTCTGAAGTTACCTCAATCGAAAGATTTCGACAGTTTGAGTACCTACTAATTATTATTTATTTACTTGTTTATTTATTACAACTGCCTATATTTCCTTTCCCATATACAAAATTTCGTCATAATTCCTTAAAGTTGGTTGTTCTTGCGATAGGTCTTCAAGCTAAGCCTTTGGAAGAATGGAGCATCCAAGAAGCAGAAGGCTCCTTCGTTGGAGAAACGGAATACGGTGATTATTATTTAAATTACGACAGCCAAATCGGAAAAATACCAGACAATGAAGAAAATCATTACGGTGAGGACCTTCTGTTAAACGATGAACACCTTGATGAAGGTGTTGAGGGACGAGATTCGGAGAAGGAACAAGTCTTCGAAGAAAAACAAGAAGGTGAACCCATTGAGGAAGAGGAAATAAATGAACAAGACGATGATAAATTAAAGGAGGATATGGGAAAAGATGACGATGAAGCTCCAGATGAAGAAGAAGAAGAAGAACAAGATGGAGCATTCGCAGATGTAATGGAAGAAATTGCGCAGTCGGGACAACTATATGATCAATTGAAAGAAAACAACGAAGAAAAAGGAGATGCAAGTAAACTAGATGAAGAAAAGAATCTTGAAGAAACAGATGATGAAAAACCGGCTGTCGTAAAAGCAGATGAGACTTTAAAAAATGTGGAGGCAATCGATAAACTAATCAATGCTATTCAAAAGGAAGCTGTACTCGAACAAAATGAACCGGTTATTGTTGAAGAAGCGGGAAATTATCCAGAAATTGAAGGCAATTCAGTCAATGAGAGATTCATTAAACGAATAAAAGATGAAATTGTAGATGAGCAACATTTTGTAAGAGATGTAGCTAAAGCCGCGGAAAAACGGCTACTCAAACATATCGTACAAGAAATGGAACAAGAAGAAGAGCGAATATTGGAAAAAATACAGTGACAATTAGATAGCATCAAACTAATTGAGAAAAAGAAAATAACCGTAAAGCATTAAAGAACACCACATTAACAACATTGTTAGAAATGCATAAATAGTAGTGATTCTTGTATTTTTGTTTACGTATATAAATAATTATTTAAATGAAGTTCTTTATTATTTATGACTTTACATACTGACAAATAAAAGGGTTTTCAATACTTCAATACACAATAAACAAGATCTGTTACATTTAATTTAAACTTGATCTTAGAATTCTTCATCATGTTAAGATACTGAAATAGAAGATTTAGACACAATTTGTTTTTTATTATTTAGGAAATTATCTATCGCTTTTATAATTACTTTGTTAATATTTTATGTAATACCAATTCCAACAAGATCAAATAACATTTAAAAGAAATTAAACTCAAATTCTGTGATATAATTTTATAACATATAACTATTTAAACTGTCTACTAAGAAATTTTCAACATATGGATTTATCAAAAGGTCGATAATTGTTTCGACCAATGGGCAATTTTTAAAGAGTACGTATATATTTATTTATAAGAGTATGCAGAATGTGTAAGAAATAGGAGGAAACAATACAAAAAAAAAACAATTGTGTGGTTTTATAAAGCCGCGATGCAAGTGAAACTCTTCGGATTGTAGGTATTTAATTGTAAATTTTCGGAAAATTATTCGATTTAGGGTATTGAAATTAAAATCGCGTTCTTAATCTTATCTTATCATCATCATAAGGTCGTCAGTCCTAAGACTGGCTGGACACGTACCTCCACTCTTTCCTATCCTGAGCTAAACTTCGCATTTCCCTAAAACTAGAACAGCCCACATCCCTAACTATTTGTGAACAGTAATCTAATCTAGGTCTACCTCTACCCCTCCTAACTCCTGTTTCTGCCTCTAATATGTCTCTGACTAGACCTTCATGCCTGANAAAATCGCCATGTTAATTTTATCTTAATGATTGGGAAATGGGAATGATAATGGGAAATCAATAGTAGACAAGATATCCAACTATAAATATTAATTTCAATCTGCGTATGAGAGTACGGAATACATAATAAATACAATAATTCAGATGATAGACGCATACTAAAAACTAAGAACAATATTTATTTAAATCTTGAATCATTTTGAACTTCAGTTATTCTATCAATAATTTCATCTTCGCTTTGAGTTTCACAGTCTATAAATGTAATTGTCATGCACTTGCACGAATGAGTGAGAATATAGATGCTACACGGTTAGCGCATGCGAGCCGTGGGTCCCGCCATATTGGCCTTGACTGCTCTGCCGAGCGTCCAGCTGTAATGCAACGTGCGATAGATGGACGAAAAAATTTGAGGCAAAGTAGGTAATAAAAGTTTCACTTTAACAACCAAGAGCACGATATTGACACATTGAAAAAAGAGACAAGACACACACACACATCATACACACATCACACACATACATCACACTCACACACTCACACACGCATACACACACACACACACACACACACAAGCGAGCGCACACACAGTGGAACGAATGGTACACAATCGGTTCCATGGTGAATATTAATTTAAAATTGTGCCTAAATGAAAATTTAAATATGACGAAGTGTAACGTGACCAAAATAAATACAATGCTCCGATAACAGAATAATAAATCATATCTAATTACGTACAAGTGGGCTAATTGCAAAGGAAGTGTTAAATATAAACTTAAGCTATTTTACGCAACAAAAACTCAATTAAAAGAATTGATTCGTCTCATTTGTAGTAACACGGAACCAGTAATGTTTTTCAGCAACAATGCTTTTAAATATTTAAAAATTGGCCTTAAAATCAGTTACTACGGCATGTCAAAGCATGACTGCATTTTTGAGTCGTAGGTACAAAGCATTAAAAATGAATGACATGCATTACAATGCAAATTTTACTATTGTGTGGAAAAATCGATAGAAACGTTTCGTCAAACAATAGCACAGGGTCAAATCAGTTTTATCAAAAAGAATCACTTTTGTTTTCGCGTACAATTAATTTGGAAATTAAAAAAGACGTTGAATGTGTATATTTGGAGCACGGCTATGTATGGGTGCCACAAGTGGACGAAAACAATAGTCTAAATCTTTATGCCAGGCGTCGGCATGTAATGTTATTTAATTTGGTATTTGAATGTTTCTTAAAATTTTTATCGAGGTCCAGAAAAAGCATATTCCTTCCTCCAAAAATAATGAGGGTGGCGCTCAAAACTCAAACATACTTTGTTGTCTACGGAAAATATTATTTAAATAATTTACTTTGAAAAACGTTTGGCGCTCCAGTTCTTGACCTTCCGCGGTCGGTCCGGACCTGGACCGCGCTCATCCAGTTGCTGACCGGGACTCTGGGACTCTAACGCATGCCGGTTGGTCTAATATTTAAAGTGCTTTCCAATGTTTTAAATAGTCTCTACAGGGGCTCCAATAAATAAATAAAATAAATGTCTCTGCCAACACGAACACCTCTCCTCAAACAGAGATAAGATCGCAAAAAAACTTGGGTGTTTCATTCCCACCAGCCACTAGCGGGCAGTCTCTCCGGACTACGCCGGAAAGTAGGGCGGAAGGCCCTCTTCAGCCTGCTTTCAGAAATTGTGGGAATGGGTGGGTGGTGGTTCGGGTGAGAAAAATGAAACGGACGAAATGAAGAGAGAAGAGAATTAAAGATTATCGGTGGAATATTACTGCTCCAGCATTTGCCTAAGTGATCCAAGGAAGAAGAGATCGCAAGTCAACCTGTCTAATATCCTACGCTTAACTAGAGAGATGCCGACAGTGTACAGGCACATGTTGTAAGGTATATTCGGNCTGTTGAAGATATCAACCTTAGAAGTCGGTAAAATGTCTAGAAAATGTCTGGAGGGAATCCTGAAAGCGTACGGGAGAATTAGATACTTCAAACAAATATCAATAGATGACGACAAAATGTCATAACTCGATAAAAACTATAACCTAGGCATTTGTAATAAAATAAAACTAGTCGAGTACGTGTAGGTACACTGAGGGTTCTATAGTAAACCCTGAAGATGTATACCAAGTTAGATACTGTAATAGCAATGGTCGGAATGTACTTTTCCCAATTTTGTGTTTATAATAGAAAGTAAGTACTTTCTTTTTCTATCAAATAGGAATTATACATATTACAAATTGTTATAAGCCAAATCAGAAATATAGGCCATCTTCAGGGTTGTTTAAAACATTACCATGTATGCTTGATGATTTTTAGTAATTTTCAAATTGCAATGGTAATGTAACATAATTGACTGGAGTAGATTTCTTAAAGCAGTTTATGATTTATCTAGTAGCTTACTAATTTGACCAGGATCTCCTGGTTCCAAGAATATTAAAGTGCATAAAGGATTAAATTTAGTTTAGTCAAAAAAGATATGTTAAAATGACAATTTCACAATACCAACAAATATAAAAAGTCACTAACATACAAGTTGATTTTTTTAAACATCTCGAGATCATTTACATTTCTACTTTTGGCTCCTACTTGAAACATGAGAAGATGTTACATAATAATTAATTGAGTAATTGAGATTTCTGTCTTCGTAGTTTAATTCAAATCGATAGGCGAATGCTTTAAGTAATCACATGCCTTCGCATTCAGCGCAGGCGCGTATACTACTACCCGTCCTAAAACATATTGTCGGTTGCATTAAAACGCGATTTGTCTAATTAATAAAGATATTAACCTGTCAAAAATAAATATCGCTAATATAATTTGCACTAACCGTTTTTTATTAGTAGTTGTATTTCATAGTAAGTACTAGGATTAATAATAGAGGAATTAATTTAAAATCTTTGTTGCTCTTATCATTTTAAATGATAAACGCTGATAATTCTGTTGTTATGTTACAATGAGTCATGACTTTACATACCTTTCCTTAAGTCACGGATGATATTTTGATATAAACAGGAATGAGTAAGTAACCAATATACTGGATAAGTATGCAAAATACAGGGTGTCGCTCTACACTATTCTAGGTAAAGCTTATATCAATCAAAATATAGCGTTTACTCATAATTAATAATTGAATACTATTGATTTCGCATTACGCTTTAATAAATAACTAAATCTTGGTATCGGTTATGCAAGCGGGTAAAAGCAAATGAGTTAATTAGTAAATCTTACCTCGATAAACTGTTTGACAGTGAAGTCGACGATCATTAGCGGCTTGTGAATTAAGTGAATGACGCCGTTTTGAACTGGAATATTAGCCTTGACTATCTCTGCAAACACGACTCCTGTAGGATGACGGTTGTCGCCCATCAAAGTGTTGCTCTTAATATAAACTGCAACGAAAAGGATTCATTTAACACAAATTTTATAAACAGGATAAAATTATAAGTGAAATTCTTGGTAATTATCCATAATTGGGCCTCCAGACCCAAATCGCTCCAAAAAGTTTTTAATCGATTTCTGATCATTCTACATAATAGAATTAGATATTAGAAGGTAGGGGAGACAGTTTTTTATGACTTCATAAATAAAAAATAAAAAAATTTTGAATGACNATCAGAGAAATAGAGAGGAAAAGATGACAGTTTAGAAACGTTAGGACGCCATATTTGATGTGCGCCATCTTGAATACCACTATCTCGACATGGCGTACGTTCTAACTTTGAGTTCGTCAGTTTTAACACCAATTCTTTAAAACAATTCTTCATACGAAGTGTGATGCAAGAAGATTGAAAAAACAGTTGAGGGATGGAGGTTTATTTAATATTATTTAATAACACCAACGTTTCGCCTATTCTTTTAAGTCTTTTTCAAGGCTTCAATAATTTTACAATAAGTCACGTTAGAACAATGAAGATTGTAGTTCCGTTATATATACTGTAACATTTAATTATTAACATATTAATCTGGTAAGTTTTTCCAGCATTGACTTATTTCGAAGTAAACTAATTCTAAAATTATTGTAGTCTTGAAAAATACCTTAAAAGAATAGGCGAATCGTTAGTGTGATTAAATAATATTACGTAAACCTTCACTCCCCAACTGTTTTTTCAAATAATTGAGTTTAGTACACAAAAATGAAAATACATAGATGTAATTAATATTAACTAGTTCTTCTTTCTTATCAGTCACTGTGAGCTCAAAACTGATAGCACCATTGGTTCGATTGATCGAAATTCACTTTTGTGAATAATTTGTTTAATCACTTTCTTTGTGTTAAAAATTGTTTGAAAAATTAAATTTAAAGGAATTGTTTGTAAATAGTTATGCAACACATCGTACACTTCAGCATAAGAAATTGCTGATACTAACTACGTAATACTACTTTGGCCTGTGCTGACAGCACTAATAATTCTTTTTTTTT